ATCACTTCAAACTTGCAGGGACAGAATTTGAAATACTTTCTACTTTGAAAAAGTTGGGCAACTGAGAGAGTTCTGTGCAGTAGCTTAAAAGAATAGAATCCTTCTCACAGCGTAGAGTGTGCCGTTTTGATTTTTGTGATGCAGCTTCTAAGTTGATATAAATAGGCTCATATGGATTTGAGATAGACAAGACCCAATTCTCCCTAAGGGTATGGATGCAGTGTTTAAGCCAGGCGGATTCCCCAAGAATAACCACAAATGAACAGTCTGAGCTTTCTTAGCTCTGATGTGTTTTAGAACATGGCCACATATTCTTTATGCAAATCTTCTTCCACTGTGTTTTATTTTAGATGAACAATCAAACTGGCTTTTAACTCCATGAACGATAGAGTGAAAAATACATTGCTCAGAAAAGAATCAAATTCACTTCGGATTGAAAAAGAAATAAAAGTATCAGGAGCATCAATTAACTATCCAAGTCTATCAGTCCCTATGACATCAAAATATAGCTTTTCTTTCATTATTTTAGTAAAGAGGTATAGATTCCTTTTGTGCCAAAAACTTCTTTTTATTGTATACACATAGCAGCCGGGTGGTTATAGATTTATATTTATGAAGTGGAACAGGTTAAAAATATTTCAGAGCACTAGTAACTCAATATTCAAGGTGTAAGAATATGCTGACAAATATCAGTATAGGGAATAGAAATACTCTATCCTTCAACTCCCTAGTCACTGAAGCAAGTAAACTGTAAAATGGCGCATTACCACCATCCTCCGAGTGCTGTGAGAATCTGAAAGGCATACAGCCCTACATAAAATATCTTGAAGACAACTTCGGGCATGCTTGAATTTGCAGCCTTGTGTTCATGTGCATGACAGCACACATTTTCTTAGAATCTCCAAGCATATGATTCATATTACATGGCAGACACTTCAAACTCCCATCAAGAGGGTGAGAAGAGAAAAGTTCTCATTATCGGCTCTTCTATGGACATAACAAGGTATCAAGTATTGCGAGGATATTTTTCCTACAAGATATCCTCGGCTTCTTGAAGTTCTTGGTGAATATATGTTTTAATCCTTCTCAGAAGTAAACAGGACTGTTATTTCACATTAAGTTGTACTTTAGAAAGAGAAAGTAAACAGCTAAGACAAGCTGGCTTCATGAGGCTGATGAAAGAGCAGACATCGACTTTTTACAATTGCAGACTCCTTCAGCCGATTTTTATTTTATTATTTTTATTTTATGCATATGTATTGCCTGCATGTGTAAGTGCACCCATGTCGTGCAATGCCCACAGAGGTCAGAAGAGGGCTTTGGATTCCCCTGGAACTAGAGTTAAGGACCGATGTCAGTCACTATGTGAGAGCTGGAAACCAAACCTGGATCCTCTGCAAGAGCAGCCAATGCTCTTAAGCACTGAGCAATCTTTCCAGCCCCTCAACCAATCTTTAAATGTAAATGTGTAAGAACAAAATACACTGAAAAAATGAAAACAACCTTTCAGAGATGCAAAGCTTGCAATAAAGAATGATTTATACCGATTGCTAACTTGACATGATCTAGAATAACCTTGGAGACACGTCTCTGACCATGTCTGTGAGGGAGTTTGTAAGTTGCCTTAAGTGAATTAGGAATATGCGGCCCTAAGTGTGGGAGGCACCACCATTCCAAGGGCTGGAGGAGAAAGCTAGTAAAGCCCCAGCATTCAAAGCTCTCTGCTTCCTGACTGTGGATGCATTGTGATCAGATCCTGCCATGATGGACTGCACCCTCAGAATGGGAGGAAAAATAAATCCTTCCTTCTTTAAATTTGCTTTGTCAAGTTTTCTGTCACAATAGTGAAACAACGAATACACTCACCTATGCGTTTTTTGACTGTTATACCAAAAATTCTTGTTTTTTACAGTATTCTATTCTCAGAATTTTCCTCTAGCTCCTTGAATGCTGTTTTTCAGAAAAGGAGAACATGGAAGACTCAAGTTTAGAAGAATCAATCCAAGAGTTAATTAAATTTCAAAGGAATTGTTCTTTTTAATTCTATCTCGTGTTTTAGGGCATAATAGAAAGTCAAGTTTTAGCATATTATAATTGTTTTCAACACTGTAGAAACTGCCACATGACAGATGAGTGGTCAAATGCCTGTTACTGCTCCCTTGCCTAGCAAAGCATTCCCACTTCTTAACCCTCTGTACTGTCCGTGAGCAGAGTGGACAAGGGGAGGTTGCAAAGTGTTGATAGACAGGCTTCATGGTTTAGGAATCCCTAGAACTTACATGGTACTAAACACCAAGTGTGCTAACACTCTGTATTCTATACCACACTACATAATGAGAATCATTACAAATAAAAAATAATGTTTCAGCCTAAGTAATTTACAAATAGTAGAGCTGGGAATTGAATCAAGAAATTTCCCAAAACGAATCCAAAACAACACAGCCTCTTGGCTCTACAAAGTCTTAATGTTATCAAGGGGAAGTGCTGAGGTGGGACGGGGCATAATACATAGGTTTGTGATGGAATTGGGACATTATGATTTGAAGAAAAGGTGGGCTTCCTGGTTAAGGCACAATATAGCATCATCACTTGTAAAAAACTATTTCTAAAGTTCCTTGCCCGTACTTTAAATGGCCTGAGATTTACAGAGATAAGCATTTGTTATAGAATCAAGAAGACTGAAAGAAGAAAAAGCGCATTGTGAATTGAAATGAGAAGTGGCAGCTTTCTAATGGATTCTTCTTTCTTGGAATCTCATTAGCTATCAGATGGAATTTGATGATCCTCCCTCATTCTAAGCTGCTAACCTGCCCCGAGCTAGCACATACAGATCAGTCTGAAATATATTTATTGTTGCTTCTGGAGGTAGTTAAAAAATCAGCTTTAGATACGAGACTTCTTTTTTCTTACCTCCAGGCTGCTACAAGATGCACAAGGGGAAGCTTGTTTTAAAAGCTGGTATCAGAAGCTGTTGGCTGCTCTCCAGTTCTGTGCAGGAGAAGCCTTGACTGATGAGTTTTCCAAGGAGATGAAACTTGTCCAACTTCTGGGCAATATTGGGGAGAAAGTCAAGTCGGCCAGTGACCCTCAAAGACAGGTTGGTTAAGAAATAAATCTTCAAATGGGGACTATGATTTAACTTTGAGTCATTGGTTTCAATTTCATATCCTTTAATACATTTAGTTATAAGACATTTAAATCAATTCCTTTAATCCAGGTTTCCTTTTCACTCACTTTCTTAAAGTTAATGGTATTTCCAGTCACTTGGCGTGATTATCTTCCTGATACAAGTAACCCTGTGACACAGAGGGGGTCATGAGAAGAAGTTGCCAACCTAAAGGCAGTTTGAGCAAAAAGTCCTGCTGATATAATTTTTTAGAGACAGGGCCTCCCCATGCTATGCAGACCAAGCTGGCTTCAAAAATCACAGAGATCCCCCTGCCTCTGCATCCTGAGTGCTGGAATTAAAGGTGCGCACCACAAGGCTTGCTGATATAATCTTAAAAGAGCACCAGAAACAAACTCACGGGAAAAATACACAATCTAATTCTACATTCTCCTAACACTGTCCTGACCAAAGGCACATTTTAAAAATCGGGGGGGGGGGGGGGCAGGGGAGAAGGAGACAGTAATAAAATTAACTAAACAAGCATCAGTAGTACTATGGAGAGTAATATTTTTATATTAAGATTTGCAGATTATAATCAAAACATTTTGTCTCTTTCTCACTGTTAGAAATGCACCTAGCTATTCTTTTTCTTGATCTCAAGGAGTCACATTGGCTCTTTTTAATTATCTACATCATTAGCTCTCTTCACTGATAGAGACCGTTAAGGAGGTTGTATTAAGTTCAGTGTTGAGCAAGCAGGGAGAGACAGTGGACATCCACCCATTGCAGTAAGAACATTATCCAACACCAGTTGAGTGCTTGCCAACAACTAGAAGTTAAAGATAAGAAGATGACTTAAACATGAGCCTTATCCTCAAGAAAACTCATAGTTTCTTTTCACTCGTTGTCTAAAATCAACAAGAGTTTCAACGAAAATAGCAGCATACAAAATGTCCTGAGATTCATTCCCAAACTAGAATTCTTCTTACTGGAAGTCACTTTATTTAATAGAAACCACAGAAGCTGTGCTGCCTCACCTATGTAGGAGGAAGTGAAAATACAAAGCATAAATAGGGAATTTATTTTTAAGTGGAAAACATATAAATTCAGGGAAAAGCTCCAGAAGTCTAACGTAACAGGCAATACGCTTTAAATTTTTCCTACGGTTTCTTCATAGTTCTTCAAAGTCATTAATTATTTTCTGATGTTAGATAAAAAAAATGATAGCAAGTAAAATAAGTGGATTGAGTGTTCCAGAAGTTTGGGTTTAGGTTCATTTCTTAACTTGTGTTTTAGAATCCCTCAGGGTTCAGGTTCACACTACAGGTAAATAAGCCTGGTACCTTTCTAACAACTTGTACCAACCTCCATAGTGATGCTGGCATTATTCACTCTAATAAACATAATTCTCTTGCCTTAACTGGTAGCTTTTGAGAAAACATATTAAAAATAGGGTGAGAATAAACAAGAGGCAGGAAATGTTGGAGGGGGTAATTTAAATATTTTATTTTAAAGAGTTTCTAACTAAGGGGCTGGACAGAAGGTTCAGAGGTTAAAAGCAAAATGTCCTCTTACAGAGGACCCACATTCGGTTCCCAGCACCCACATAGTGACTAACAACCATCTGTGACTCCAGTTCCAGGGGATCTGACACCATCTTCTGACCTCTGTGGGCATTGCAGAAGAATGTCTAATTAAGCATCATTAGCACCATTTTTACCCCTCCTTCTCCCCTTCAATGAGGAGAGCTCTTTTTGTTGAACTTTTTTTACACTTTACTATAGTTCAGTATTTTAACTTAAAAAAAAAACTTTATGGAGAATTTCATGCACGCATATAAGGTGTTTTGATCAAACCCACACCCACTCCCTCCCCTCCAACATCTCCCATATCTCCCTATCACTTTTCTCTGACAACTTCATGTATTCTTTCTTTTGTTCTTTCTTTCTTTTTTAAATGGGGTTTTTTGTTATTCTAACATTCCCCCCTCTGAAGAGGTAACCCTAAAATCTTTTAGGGATCAGATAAGAGCTCCCAAATAGTTTTGACATTTTTTTGTCTTTGGTACAGAGCATGTTGCTAAGAGGCCCAAGGACATTTTGACTTTTAGCCAAGAAACTGCCTACTTTTCTTTGGGGTCCTTTGACCCTAACTACCTAGCCAATTCCTACCTCCTATTCTTTCACACCATCCTCTGAAGAAGTTACCCAAATTGCCAACAGCGAATCGGGATGCAGACTGCTCTGGCTTCTTCCATTTCAGTATTTTTTATTGAGAATTTCACACATGCTTGTAATAGGTTTTGATCAAATCTATCCCCTACTCCACCCCCCTTCAAATCCTCTGGTATATCTTCAGGACCACTTTTAGGTCTAGTTTCACACACTCTTCTGTAAACCCCCTGAGTACCCTTAGTGCTTCCTGTATGTGCATGAGTGTAAAACCATCTGCTAGAGTATGGATAGCCTACTGAGGGCCGTGTCCCTGAAGAAAACTGACTCCTCCTTCCCAGCAGCCATCAATTTCTAATAGCTCCTCAGCTGAAGTGAACTTCATGAGCTCCTCCCACTCCATTCTGGGATCAACTAGCTTGATCTTGTGCAGATCATGTGCATGCAATCCCAGCTGCTGTGAGCTCATGTGTACAAGGCCCTATCGTGTCTAGGAAACACTATTTCCCAGCAATGAACAGCTCCCTTTGTCTCTTATGATCCTTCTACCCTATCTTCCATGATGATCCCTAGATAGCTCTTTTTAAATTTAATTTTATTTATTAGTATTATATGTATGTGCGGTGGGGGTCATTGCCACACATGCCATGGATGGTCATGAGGAGGTCAGAGGACAACTTCTAAGAAACTGTTCTCTCTGTCTCTTGTGAAATCTGGGCATAGAACTGAGGTTGTCTGGCTTGCTTGGCAAACACTTTTACCTGCTGAGCCATCTCACCAACCTTGGTAGCTATCTTTTAAATTTTATTTTATTTTCTGCTTGAAGAAAAAGCACTAAATGACATCTAGCCATACAGAATAAAGAAGAGGTTTTACTCAAGGAGGATGGTACCAGGGACTCATATCTATTAACCTGTCCCCTTAGATTTTATGTAACTCAAGAGAAATTGGGAAATTAGGAATAAACAGAAATTGAGAGAGGAAAATGGTTCTGTTTACCAGGGAGAAAAAGACTCATCCTTTTTCCTTTCCTGTAGCAGTATTGCAACTTTATAGAAAACATGCTACAAAAATCAGGAAGTATGCACATGCTAATTTAACTGTAAGATAAGCTGTCTGCACTATTGGAACCCGTTTCCCCTGTGAGAACTATGAGATTTCTGGGGAAACTTTAAGTCCTTGGGGTCCACTGATTTAAGATCCCTCTTTCAGGAGCAGAGTTCTGCTTCTAATAAGTTCATCAGGCAAAGCCATGTATAGATCACAGGAAGAGGACAGACACAGAAAGATGTCAGGGTAGAATTTTGCCTCATTCTACCCTGCTACTCTAGATCCTGAGAGAAATGGATTCTGTTATTTGCCAATGAACCAAGAGTAAGAGATAAGAAACTCTCAAGAGTTAAGAACCACTAGCTGGAGTAAATTTCATCTATAACCTCAGGCTTAAGGAACTTTCAAATCTAGGATAAAGGGAACGTTTTGTTTTAGGATGTATTATGATTGTCCTCTACCTCTTTTTGTAGGGGATGCTGAGTTCTAAAAGTGGTATTTGTAATCTCTGCCTTCCCACAGGCTCTGTGGACTATGAAAAGTAGTAGAGATTACAAATACATGCATTGGCATATAATAAACTAGTTGTTCGCATAAATTATTATTCCTGTCAGCATTATTGCATTGACTAATGTATGTAAATTATTTTTGTAAACTGCACTATTATTATCAGCTCAGTAGTTTATAAATGAAGATTTCAGGAAATTATCAGAAAAAGATCTAGTTAATAGTTACTTAAAGCAGGGGTTTCAAATTGGTGGACCACAGATCAAGTCCAGCTCATTGTGTGGTATTTGAACAGCACAACGCTTTGTTTGATATTTGCTTTTAGTTGAACTTGAGGTCACTGAGAAAGAATATAACTCTTTGGTTCCTCGTTTTCACCAACACTTCCTGTTGTCCTTAGCCTCCTGCTCCATCATCCAGGATTCTATCATCCCCCTGACCCTGAAGCCATTCACACACACTACCACTGAATTAAAGATTTTATTTTCTTAACACCCAAAAGACATAACTCAAAAGAAGAATAAAGCTCTTTACAATCTCTTAAATACTTTTTCTGATTATCTTTCTCACAGGATGTTCTAAAGAAAGAGATCGGCAGACTAGAAGAATTCTTTCAAGAGAGAAATACTTGCCATCTTCCCTTGAACCCCGCTCTGTGCATAAAGGGAATTGATCGCGATGTAAGCAACCTGATTCAGTGTTTCTGTTTTGTGTTCTTTAGACCGTTGAATGTTTTATATAGAATAAATAATTCACAGATGAATATTGCAATTATTTTAAGGAACGTAATTGACCCCCATCTACAATATTGTCTGTTGGATTCATTATGGCCATTTGGGATGACATTGAACTTGTAGTATGATTTTTTTTTTTTTACACTGAATGGATTTTTTTGTGGATCCATCCAGCGTGACTTATTTGGAGACTCCCTGCATGGAGCTTTTCCGTTTCTCTCTGAGTCATTAAGGGATGGGCCAGGTGGGAGAACTGATTGAAATTTCCTGCCTCATTTATATTACATGTGTATCATGTCTAGTACATTAATAATAGTCATTAGCTTTATCGGCTCCATTTTGATTCAATTTAATATGTATCCGTGCCCAAACACAGTGTGTTCTGTGAACGGTTTTGTAATTTTACTTGTGTCTATAGAGCCTTTCCTGGTATTGTCAAACTCTTAACCTCCTCTTCCTAACCCTCGGTCACATTGTACCTCCTGAGTCACCTTTCTCTGACTTCGAATCTTTCTTTCTCCTTTGTTCCTGCTAAGCTTTTTTATCCTCCTTCTCAAAAACGCCAGTGTAGAAAGACAGTAATAGGGGAGATGATTGATAAGTAATATTTAAGAGTGAAGAGATTAAGCTATCATGCATGAACAATACATGATACTTTAGTCATAAGACAGCAAAGAAAACAAGCCCAAGAGTTAGGAGGAAAAAGTGAACTATTATTAGTATAAATGTAATATGATTTGCTAAAGACTCGACACTATCATCTTTATAACTTTGCTACTGTCAAGACCCCCTCCAAACTGATATGCTTCATAAGCATATTTTATGTATATTTTAATGAAGTTTTATGTATTTCATATAATAGATCTCAGTCAAATTTAGACCCCCTCCCCCATCTGCACTCCGGATAGCCCCCTCCTTACTGGATTTCATACATTCTGTTATATGTTAAGACCTATCAAGTCAAGCATTTAAAATAAGGTATTACATTCCACAAATTGACATACAATGAAGGCTAAAACTTACATCGTAGCTAGTGCTGTCAAAATTGCCTGTTTTCGATTGCTAGCAATATTTATTGACTTATGGTAAAGATGGCTAGAAACCAAACACATTGAAGATATAGTATCTTTACATAGAAAGGACAAGACCACTGGATCCAGTTCTTGATTTTTGCCTTTGTGCTTTTGGTTTCTTGTGGTGTGTGTGTGTGTGTGTGTGTGTGTGTGTGTGTGTGTGTGAAGAGTAAAGTGACTTTTTTTCCTCCAACAAAAATTATATGTACCTTTTTATTCAAACAGGCCTTAGGGGTAAGAGGTATTGGTGCTAAGAGGTGGCCCTTGGATATGCTACAGTGAGCTTCCAGGAGCAGGGATCAGCAGCCTGGTAGTGTCTATCCCTCACTCTACCTCTAAGACCAGTCTCTTTCCCTACATGGGCAATACTTTCCCCAAGGCTCAGAAGTTACTCCAAGTTGAGCTATTCCCTTGACCTGTTTGCTCTGACCCTCCATACCTGGAACAGACCTTGGCTTCTGTAGTACAGCAATGAACAGAATTGGCTTTATGAAGTTGGCTTGTGGCATATTTAATCTGTCTCTAATCCTACTAATCAGAAGGATAAGAAGACTTACAGCCGAAATGAATGTAGGAAAGCTCACAACTCATTATACCTGAGAGCATTCTCACGGATAAGAGACATTATAAATGTAATGAATGTGGGAAAATCTTCACTTTTGGTGCTAGTCTCATGGTATATCAGAGAACACATTCTGAGGAGAAACCTGACAAATGCAATGATCCAGGGAAGCTATTTTGGGTAGGTAGAACACTGTGGCTCATAGTTTACAGTGCACCAGAGAGTTCACATTGGAGCCAAATCCTATTAATTCAGTGAGTGTGGGAAAGTCTTCAGGCTGAGTCCACTGCATCAGGAGGAGAAATTTGCCCTCACTCAATTTATTTTGTAAAACATAGCTTTCAGAGGCAGAGAGCAAGGTTGTTAGGTTTGAGTTATGCTCTCTTTTTTTTGGTCTTTTTGAGACAGGGTCTCCCTGTAGCCCCAGATGTCCTGGAATTCACAATGTGGACTAGGCTGGCCTTGAACTCACAGAGGTCTGCCTGCCTCTGCCTTCCGAGTGATGGGATTAAAGGCATACGCCACCAAGCCCGCCTGAGTTATGCTCTTTTTATAAGAATTCTCAGCCATGTGCCCTCAGGGAACTGCTAATTATTATATACAATTCCTTATTTCCCTTTGTGTTGCTGAGGGGTGACCAGACAAGTGAGCTGTGAGTAGCTTACCTCAGCCCTTTTTCTGTTATTGAAAAAGCTAGGACTAGATGTGACTTATTTACAGGCTTCCTCTTTTATTAACTCTTAAAATCTGTGCTTCTCAAAAGCAAAACTCCTACCTTCCTTTCTCTCTTTTACCTTCTCCCTTCCTTCTTCCAACTTTTCCGTTTTACCAGACATAAGATCATCTGCAAGACTCTGATGCCCTCTTTCCTCTCTCGGGACTATGGCCTTCTTAATCTAGTCTTTAAACTCCTGCTTTTAACTTGACATTTATGACTTGCCTTTCTCTACTTAGACAACCCTTCCTCCATCTGTTTGCTCATCTATGTCTCTCACAATCTTCAAGATCCATTTCGCCTCCAAATAACTTTCTTCAGTACTTCCTCATTCAACTATGATAAATTGCTTGGCGAATTTTCAATTGAATGTATATGTATACACATTCATGTCAATTTTCACTGATGTTTTAACGGTAAATATGGTACTTGTTTCTGTTACCATCTGGGTAATGGCTTTCAGATAGTAATTGTGGGTGGTATAACATTTTTGACATGACTTTCAGCAAATATATTTCAAGTGTAAATAAGAAATGAAATAATAAAAGCAGAGTAGTTCCAGGTGAAATAATTAAGAAGAGAGGTTAAAGCCTCCTCCAGCCTCCCTTTGACCTTTGTCTGTTTTTTAGACTTAGAATATCTCAGAGACCGACAAATTGGGTTGCAGAGTTTGAAATCCATAAATCTAGGCTTACAAGATTTTTTAATTCTATGCCATGATGAGATCATATTTTTTTCTTTAATTAACTGATTCTTGCAGCAGAAATTCATTCTTCCCAAGTAGCCTCAACCATAAATCTATATAACTTAAATTGATTCAGTAAGCAAGGGTTTGTGCTTAGCTAGAGGGTATAGTATACTTACGTTAAAAAAAATAGACCCTTTCTTCTCAGCTTGTACAGATTTCAATTGTCTCAGATAAGACTAGTCGTATTGATCCTTCAAGGTACATTTATATCGTATTTTATTGATTTGATAAATTGAATATATCAAATCTCTTTAGTGTTAGTTTAACTCTTTACCATCAGTATGAACTCTCTACTACCCTAGACAAATTCAAACCCTCAAACAAATGAAGGAAAACAAATAACAGAGAAAGCTGAGATGAAAACCTTCCATATCGAGACACTGCAGATGCAAATACAAAATGTGACTGAAAGAAATGTGCAAAGGAAATGTATATTGGGCTGTGATCTGTAAATGTATTAGTTCATATATCTTTCACCAAAATGTGTGAGATAACATGTGTTATCTCCATTTTACATTGGATAGAAACATGATAAGTAATAATATCAAGATCTCACAGCTAATAAGATACAAAGCCCAGTGTTCAATTTATGTCTCTCTGAACTATGGATCTATGCTTCGTTAAAGTGCATTCCAGGGCAGAAATGATTGAAAGGAAATAATATTTTATGTTTTATGCTTTATTTATTACTTTTTATTTTGTGTGTTTGAGAGCATTTCCTGAAAGTGTGTAAGTGCACCTGTGTCATGCAATGCTCACAGAGGTCAGAAAAGACCACCAAATTACCCCGGAACTGGAGTCATGGATGGTTGTCAGCCTCCAGGTGGGTGCTGGGAATTGGACCTGGGTCTTCTGCAGGAGCAGCCAGTGCTTTTAACTGCCAAGTAAGCTCTCCGGCCCACAAAGGAAATGATATTTTAAATAGCATTTATTAACCAATTATAAAAGAACACCTACATACCACTTAGTTTGTTTCAACCTTAAACATATTTCTATTACTTGGAGGGTTAAGAACGCAGAGGAGGGTTTCCAATCTCCCATAAAGCTGGTTTTTCTACCTCCAAGTACCTTAGTTCCTCCTTATTCAATGAGGGTATATTCTAAGACCCCCCTCAATCAATGTGTGAACTCAAGTCCTATATAGTGTATATATAGTATATTTTTCCCTATGGGTAGCATATGCCATGTGACTACACTGCACAACAGTATGTTCACATACTAAGAAAGTAGCGAGATGGCACGTGGCTTCATCATGCTACTCAGAAGGGTGTACAATTTAAAGCTTTAGAATTTTCTATTTAATAATTTTCCACTTTGATTACTTCAAGTACCTGAAGCGGCAGAAATCAAGACACAAAGAAAAGCATACTGTTACGAAGGCTTCAGATTGGTAGACTAAAGTTTGTCTATTTTCAACAAATACAGTTCTTTCTAAGTATAAAAATTATACCTATTTGTTATGTTTGCTCATCTAGCAAATTCTTCAAGGGGCTGTGATTTCAGGACAGGTGTTTTTGTGTTATTGTGTTCAGCATTTTTCTCTGCCCCTCCTATAGGCCTGCTCATACTTCACATCCAACGCTTTGCCCTTGAAGATTACTTTCACCAATGCTAATCTAATGGGCAAGAACATCAGCGTCATTTTTAAGGTACAGTAACACTTCTAAATCTCCAAATTGATTCCATAAGAAGAACTATTGATTTATTACTCACAACTAGAAATGATTGTAGCTGATTTCTTCTGGCAACAACACAGAGGCTTCCCAATTATTTTAAATTCTGCGTTTTTACAGAATCACAGTACCTGCCAAGCTGATTGGCAATAAATCAAACAGTACTGGCTAAAAGCCAGCTGATGTTCAGTGCAAATCTTAAGAAACCGTGTTTGAATAAATGAAAGTATATGATCACTTTTGAATGGCAGAGAAAGTGGAATGTGTGGCCAGCTCCCAGAAGGAGAGTTTTCTTTGGGCCTAGATAGGAAATTAGGATGGAAATTACATGGAAACCAAACAGTATAAACTAACAGCATAATAGCTTTTGAAAGATTTACTTATTTATTTTTAATTGTGTATGTACGTGTGTGTCAGACATGTGAGTGGAAGTCACATGGGAAGAGACGTGAAGCAAGGAGGCACAAACAGGGAAGGGTAAGTAGAAAGCAGGACTTTACCAGTCATCCAGTTAAGTTAGTCCATTATTCAACAAGTCTTCAGCGTGAATCTGTGGTGGATTCTGACTGAGTTTTGAGAATGCGGATTAGCACACTCACACTTTTACTTTGACTCTCAGTGCTCTGTAAATTCTATTTTTCATGAAGAAAAGAAACTCATTTGGGCTGGATTATCTGTGTATAATTTAAAGAACATCTTTTTAGATCAAACTGTTTATTTGTTTTAAAGCACAAAGATCCTTCCCTTTTTGGACCAACTGCATTTCCTTCACCTCTGCTGAGAAATCATCCCTTTATGATGTCTTATTAGTAAAGACAGTTTTCTCTGAAAACTCTCACCACCTCCATAATAGAAGCTGCTGAGTCACAGGGTGCTGAATCATATGTGTGCTATTTATAGCCTGGTGGAGAAGCTGTTGGGTTCTAATTGCAGCACCGAGCATAAGCATATGACATCCAGATATCACTTAGAGATCTTTCTTGGTGGAGTTTGAAACTTGTGTAAACATTCGTTCTGCCTCTTTGCACTAGATTTTGAATCTAAGAAACTGTGGAAAATAAACTGAAAGATGACTATCTTGGGTAGCTCCTGTCATCATTTAAAGGAAAGATCTTGTTCTCTTTGATCTTTTCTCAAAAACACAAGGTACTTTTAATGCTAATAAAACAAGTAAAACCACACTAAGTCGAGCTGGAACTGTATCCAGGGAAAGAAATGACATGGACCGCATTTGAATGCTTTTAATGGAACTCAAGGAGAAACCCAGAGCCTGTACTTTTGTTTCTAACAGGCTGGAGATGACCTTCGTCAAGATATGCTTGTTCTGCAGATTGTTCAAGTGATGGACAACATTTGGCTGCAGGAGGGTCTAGATATGCAAATGATCATTTATAGCTGTCTATCCACAGGAAAAGCCCAAGGTCAGTATAGATTGGAAAATGAGTGGATTTACATTATTTATCTCACTTACCGACTGGTAATGTACCCAAACTGACAGTTCTCATTTTAAGCTACAAACTCAAAGCTCCAAAGAGCTATGTACATTCCTCTTTTCTCAAAGAATAGTTTTTAAAATAAGCATAAAGGTATTAATTATGACTTTGCAATCCTTTGCTTATCTGTAGGAATTAGTTATGTTACTACTATTTTTCCCCATTTCCTAAGATAGTCTTGATGTTCCTTGACATCTGCAATGATAGCATTATGTACCGTCACAATCTAGTACCATACCAGAAAGAGACTTAGATTCAAAAGTAAAAGTACATGGGCTGGAGAGATGGCTCAGTGCTTAAGAGCGTTAGCTGCTCTCCCAGAGGTCATGGGTTCGGTTCCCAGCATCCACATGCTGACTTACAACCATCTCTAGATCCGATTGGCTCCCTCTTCTGGCCTCCGTGGGCATTACATGCACTAGTATACTTACATACACGCAGGTAAAACACTTGTAAGTCCAACTTCCTCCATAACATAATGACCTACTTATTCAAAACAGTTGTCACCACTAATGCAACCTTGATAAATCTGCATATGTTTAAAGAAACCCTAAAATTCTAAGGACACGAAAAGCCTGCATTTATTTACTTTTTAAATTATTTTTTATTTGTGTGTATGATGTGTGTACAAGAACACACAAGCAACAATGCATGTTTTGAGGTCAGAGGACAACTATTGGGAGTCAGTTGTCCCTTCCTCCATGTAGGTGCTGGAGATGGAACCAAAATCTTCAGACTTGTGTGACAAGACCTTTCACCTACTGAGCCATCTCACTAGCCCTAGACTTGCATTTAATTTCTAAAACACTTTTGCGTTGGTATAAAATCAACAGCCAAAAATGATCAAACATGCAAACTTTGAACATACTTCAAATTTCTTTTGCTTTGTAAAAGCCCAGAAGATGGAGAAGATTACATATTTTAAGTCCTTTATCTGTTCAAGGGAGGGGGGAGGTATTCATTGTATATTTTGCAGTCTTGCTGAATTTCACATTAACCCATAGATTTTTCATAGGCAATTTCTTTTAATCAATTAGTTAATTTTATTTTATTTGATTGATTGATTTTATTTTTATTTTATGTGTATGAATGTTATACTTGCATGTATGTAAGTGTACCTGTGTCATACAGTGCCTACAGAGGAAAGAAGAGGACATTGGATCCCCGGCAACTGGACTTACAGATGGTTGTTAGCCATCATGTGGGTGCTGGGATTTGAACTTAGGTCCTCTGCAAGACAGCCAGTACTCTTAATTGCTGAGCCATCTCTCTAGCCCCCTAATTTTTATTTTATGCATATGTGTGTTTTGTCTGCATGTATATTAAGTTCCCTTGTATCATGTAATACCCAAGGAGGCCATAAGAGGGCATCAGATACCCTGGAACTGGAGTTACAGATGGTTATTAGCCACGATGTGGGTGCTGGGAACTGAACCCAGGTCCTATAGAAGTGCACCAGTGCTCTTAACCACTGAGCCATCTTTCCAGCCCCTCATGGACTATTTCTTGGAAGCATGTCATGTACTATGACCATACTCACCCTACTCTTCTTGTCTTCCTTTCTTCTCCTCCTTCTTTACTGCTTTCATGGCATGTATAAATGGTTTATCTATCTATAAGAAACCTAGGACCTACAAATGAAAAACACAATATTTGTCTTTCTGACTCTGGCTTGTTTCTCCTAATGTAACATGATGGTCTCCAGTTGCATCTATCATCCATCAAACAACATCATTTTGTCCCTGTAATAAAACACCATGGTGTTTATGTACCTCATTTTCTTTATCTGTTCATGTGGTTTTATTTGCTTATTCTGGAAAAAGTCCCTCAATTATATAGTCTTTTTTTTTTTAAGCTACTGTTGAAACTTATTGCTGCAAAGGACCCGTCATATTAGTTCCCTCTCTTCCTGAGGCCCCAGCATCAGGCTCAAAACCCCAGGCAGTAAGACTTGAGATGTTAGCTGCTGAGTGCAGACTCCCAGCCCAGCTGACTTAGAGGGAAGACCCAATTCCTTTCATTCCAACAGCAGTGATCTTGCTCCATGCCAATTGCCCCACCCCTGAACCTTTTCCACTGTTTTAATTCCTTAAGGGCAGTCTTTTATTTTGGCTACCATGAACTTGTCATTCCTTGAATTCTACTCTCTTGTTCACACAGACGTGACCTAATTCTTTCATTTCTTAATCTGCTGAAAAAGTAAGAATAAAACCAAATGAGCCAGACTGAGCTTCTTGATGCCACTCGGAGACCACTTGCACTTTTGAAATTGAATAACCCTTGATCTTGATGGAATGCTCTCATTCCATCTACTCACCTCTGTTTGTCATTGTAGCATCTAACCAAGGCAAAATCTTTCAAATTCTTCTTCAGCAGAAATAGGGAGTAAAGCAGGTGTCATTTTTACAATATTGCATTGCATTTTGTCATCAGATTTTGAGAGTTATCTGATGACTGTTGTTCAAAATTTTAAGAACTTACCCATCTCTCTAGCCACATAGCTCTGTTTGTGCCTCTCAGACTGCCAAGCATTTGATTCTGCAATTCTTACTATGTGCAGATTGTGAACATCAGAAAGTCTAGATTTTCATTTCTTTCAGTGATTTTATCTATAAACCTGTGCATTGAGAGATATTTGGGGATATTCATCCTGGGAGAGGTTTAAATACTGTTTAAGCCACTCTTAAAGAAGGCCTGAAAATATTTATATCCTAATAACTTGAGAAAGCACACTGGAAGTCCTTGATGGATGAATGGCCATTGGAGTGAAGGTTCTACTTAAGTTCCATCAATATATGCCCCTTTTAAATGAAATCATTATTATGGCTTCTCTTTCAAGTCAACTGAAGCAGGTAGCTTCCTCCATGGCTAATGCAATTTTTCTCTTTGCTCCCAGAAATCTAACATTTAACTACAATGCTTTTGTTAGCCTGAACAAAGTTTTACTTTTAACTTTTCTGTGTGTTTATGTGTGCATGTGTGTTTGTGTATGTGTCTGTGTCTGTTTTGTGTATGGTATGCATAGGTGCATGCTGTGTGCATGCGTGCATCTGTTTTGTGTACAGGTGCACATAGGTGTGTGCTCTGTGTGTGTGTGTGTGTGTGTGTCTGTGTGTCTGTCTGTGTCTGTGTTTTGTGTATGGTGTGCATAGGTGTGTGCTGTGTGCATGTGCATGTCTGTTTTGTGTACAGGTGCACATCGGTGTGTGCTCTGTGTGTGTGTGTGTGTGTGTGTGTGTTGTGTATGGATAGACATATATGTGAAAACTAAAACTTGAAGTGAGGTGCCTTCTACTGCTTTCCACTCTATATATGGAAGCAGGGTCACTTCTTACGATTTCTTCTTTGTTCTTGAGAATATCATACAGGAGGACGAAATAGGATCCTATCTACTCCCCATTTTCCCTTCCAACTCTTCCCATATCTGTCTGTCTTCTGAATAAGATGTGGCTATTGCACTTCAGAGCTCACAATAACTGTAGTGACCTGCGCAAGCTAAAACCAGCCGAAATTCCAGCATAGAGGGAAGACATGATCTCCAGGCCCCAACACAAACACTGGAGCTACTGGCAGTTGATAGTCACTGGGAGAGGGAGACTCATTCTTCTTTGGTGATGTGGTCACTGTAGGTTTCCCAGGCTCTGACGGGTGGCCCCACACCCATTCACATATGAGCAGCACTAACTGACTTAGAGGCATGAAGAAAAGAAGGAAGAGGAGGAGGAGGATGGAGAGGAGGAGGGGGGAGGAGATGGGAGGAAGAGGAGGAGGAGGAAGAGGAGGGGGAGGAGGGGAAGGAGGAAGAGGAGGAGGAGGGGGAGAAAGAAGAGGAGGAGGGGGAGGAGGAGGGAGAGGAGGATGAGGAGGGAGAGGAGGAGGAGGAGGAGGGGAAGTATCTCTTGCTGAACCCAGAGTTTCAGCTACTCTAGCAAGCCTGCATGCTCTGGGATCCCTATTATTCACCTGCTGAGGGCTAAGATTACAAGTGCACTCCCACACCCACCCAGCATTTAAGTGGATTCTGGGATCCAAACTCCAGTCCTCAGGAGTTCTTGGCCAGTGTTTTATCCATTAATCCATTTCTTCAGGCTCCAGAATACAGATTTTTTTATCATATACTGGTATGTTTGCTAAGGGAATTATATTTTGTTTATGGAAGATACAAACATGTTCGCTATACAAACTCGAGTGTCCTCCATGAACTGTCAATGAGTAGCACTCCATCCATGGGATTGTCAATCCTCTCCTCTAGTGACTATTGGGTCTCCACAGGGTCATCTTGATGCGCCCTCTGTCATAGTTCTAGAAAGAAAACATTAAGCTGCTTCTGATGAATCTAATGAAAACCCCACAGTTACTAGACTTGATGAGATTTTGGAAGGATGAGCAGTAGCCCACATGCCCCCCCCCCAGGCTTCTGCAGAGAAGGTTTGAAAGGCAAAGGAAATCCAACCCGTGCCAACAACCACTGTTGCTGCTCACATCAAGGTCTGTGGCCTAAGTATTCTTCCTGAGGTGAAACAAGGTTAGTTTCCATAATCTCTTTGTTATTATCTAGGATTGATAGAGATGGTACCCGATGCTATAACCCTTGCAAAGATCCATCTGCACTCGGGGCTGATAGGACCACTGAAAGAAAACACCATCAAGAAGTGGTTCAGTCAGCACAACCACTTAAAGGAAGATTATGAAAAGGTTTGTCCTGCTGGAACTAATTTTAAGTAAGGTACTTAAATAAGAATAGGCTCTGGTCCATTGGATAGTGTGACTTATGGGAAAATAAATTAAGTACACCTTGAGTTCTAATTCACTCAGTCATCAGCCTAGAGAGAATGACCCAATTTAAATAGCATATTAATGAGATAAAAATCTTTTCATTTGGTTTCCTTCTGGGTGAAATTTCTGGCTACTGGTAAAGAATCTCTTTCCTTAGCTGTCTCTGTTACAGCAATCTCACTCCAGAGATGATGCCTCCTGAAACTATTCCATCTTAGTAATTTCTACTATAACTTCTAACTACGTACACAATCTCCAATTTTCTAAATCAAGCCCCTTTGCTAAAATTTATTCTGCTATGATATACTCTATGTTTTCATCTAACATTGTTAAATGGCTCGTGGAATATAAGATAGAAGGAAGATAGATGATTGATAGATAGATAGATAGATAGGTAGATAGATAGATAGATAGATAGATAGATGATGGATAGATGATAGATAGATAGATGATAGATGATAGATAGATAGATAGATAGATAGATGATAGATAGATGATAGATAATAGATAGATGATAGATAGATAGATAGATAGGTAGATAGATAGATGGATGGATGATAGATAGATGATGATAGGCAGATAGATGATAAATAGGCAGATGATAGATAGATAGATAGATAGATAGATAGATAGATAGATAGATACAGACAGACGATAGATAGATGATAGGTAGGTAGATAGATAGATAGATAGATAGATAGGCAGTTAGATGATAAATAGGTAGGTAGGTAGATAGATAGATAGATAGATAGATAGATAGATGAATAGATAGATAGATAGATGATAGAAGATATATGATAGATATATAGAAGATAAAAGATAGATAGGCAGATAGATGATAAATAGGTAGGTAGGCAGATAGATAGAAGATGATAGATAGATAGATAGATAGATAGATAGATAGATAGATAGATAGATAGATAGATAGATAGATAGATAGATAGATAGATTTAGATAGATGATAGAGGATAGATAGATGATAGATGATAGATAGATATAGCTAGATAATTGATAGATAGATAGACAGATAGATAGATAGATAGATAGATAGATAGATAGATAGATAGATAGATGATAGATTGATATAGATGATAGATGATGGATGAATAGATAATAGATAGGAAGAAATAGATAATTGCAGCTGCTTTTTTTCTTTGTTGACTTTTTTGTGCCATTGTTTCTCAATGGATAGGCCTTGAAGAACTTTTTCTACTCCTGTGCTGGCTGGTGCGTGGTAACGTTTATCCTGGGAGTTTGTGACCGACATAATGACAACATCATGCTGACAAAGTCAGGCCACATGTTTCATATTGACTTTGGAAAGTTCTTGGGTCATGCACAAACATTTGGTGGTATAAAAAGGTCAGTACACAAACATTTATTACAGTAATTAAGCAATGTCCTAAATAATATATAACATATAATGACATAAAAGCCTAGCAAATGACTGGTCCCCATGTCTCAGATTCCCCCAAGGTAATATAAATATGATTGTATATCTAACAATATGGAAGGAAAGATTTTTTTCAATAAATTGTTAATGAAACAGCATTTCTTCAAGCTGTTAAGAAACTAAATTAGTCTTCCACAAGCTGCTCATCCTATTCCACCCTGACTTGTTTCAAATAATACTTCTGTTCTAATGAGTTTTAAATGGGAAACAAGGTATGATTTGATGGTCTTGGTCCATTTGATACATTTTCTGTAGGAAATTGCCACCGCTACTTTAGACATCATAAAGCTAGCATACTCTCTGCCTTCTTTTAACCTTTAATTATTCCTCAGGTACTTAGTGAGCACCCACCGGTCAAAGCACTAAGGATCAAAGAAAGAACAATAGTACAAACCCTGATCTCCTCAGAGGGGAGACAGGCATCACTGTGGTTTGAAAGTGGTATATCCAATAGTTTCATGTGGATTCTTGGTCTCCAGCTGATGGTGCTGTTTTAAGTTTTGGAACCTTCGAGAGGTGGAACCAAACTAATGGAAGTGGGTCACTGGGGCCCCCGTATCAGTAACTTTTCCATTGCTGTGGGAAAACCACTGACCAAAGCAACTTATAGAAGAATGAGTTTATTTAGCTTACGATTCCAATGAGTTAGCATCCATCATGGGAGGGAGGCATGGCAGAAGGAGGTGGCTGGAGCAGAAGTCAGTGATCACATCCTCAAGCAGGCACAGGAAGCAGACAGTGACTGGAAATCTGGCAAGGCTTAAGAACTCTCAAATCTCGCCCCAGTGACACTTCCTCCACACCTCCTAACACCTCCCAGAACAGTGCCACCAACTGGAAACAAAAATGCCCAAAGACTTGGAACCTATGGGGGTTATTTTTATTCAAACCACCACACCTGTCTTAAGGTTTTAAAGCCTGGCTCCATTTCCTGCCTGCTCTCTGCTTCTTTAAGACCTTAAGCCCCAACCATCGTGCTTGACTGTCTATGATGGACTGTATACCTTCTTAAACCACACATTAAAATGCACTGTTCTTTCTTTAAATTGCTTTTGTCAGGCATTTTGTCACAACAAAGAGAAAAGTAGCTAAAAGGGCCATTAAGCAAATGAACAAATGCTGTAAAGAAATAAATTCTTCTATTAGGAAACTAAAGCAAAGAACAGGTATGAACGTGCCTGGGGCAGGCAGAGAAGAAGACATGAAGGTGCAGTAATTGGGCAGCCTGTGGAGATGTATCATGGGAAGAGGGTGCCGGGAAACCAAGCAAATAGCAAGGTGCCCCTAAACTGACCTCTTGGGAAACCTAGAAATCTCAATCCTGTGCCAGCTCTGCAGCTGCTGTAAACTTTCTGACTTCTAAGAGAATATACAGCTTTGAACAGGAAGGATTTCACATCTTGTATATAAACAAGCAATCCCTTTTTATCGCTGTGATTGTAAGATTAGAAAGGATTGACACCAGCTGACTAAATCAAAGGGCAACTCAGCCCCCTCATTGCTTAAGGATCCTAGGGAATATTTGCCTAATCCCTACAATGGAAATAATGAGGAATTTCCCCTGATTTCTGAAGCCAATGGGTTTTCTTTTGCTTACTTATTGTCTTTATTTCTATATTTTCTCTCACAAAGACACAAATTAAAGTGATTAACAAATCACATACCCAAAATATTTCCTTCAGTTCTTTGGTTGTAATAATTTCTATATAGTAACTTCTTCACTATCTAGAAGGTATTGTAGTAATAAATTCAAATTTTGACTCAATAGATCCCCGTAATGATTTTCTCTTATAGACCAAGAGAAATTAAGGAAAGTTTTTATTAATAATATCTATTGCTTTTCAAACTCATTTTTTTAAATTATTATTTTATAAGCGTTATTTCTAATGTATGTGGACTATTGCTTAGGTAACACCAACCTTGTACTGTCTTTCTTTTGTAGCTGTTTTCTAAATAAGCTTAATGTCTCTATAAGCTTTAGTTAATGTCAGCTGCTCTAAAGACAAACTCGTGTGTGTGTGTGTGTGTGTGTGTGTTCAGTCCCAGGAAGCCACCATGCGCTTAATATGTAAACTTGAGTAAATGACTTCTCCGTGCTTCAGTTTGTTCATCAATAAAATGTACTTTTGTTGGTACATTAAATGATTGATATGTGTAAAGGCTCCGAAGGTCGTCACAGATTTCAGCACGATATCCCTAAATTGTGGTATAATTTCAGACACAAGCAAAGATGGCCTGTGCACCTGGCCCACGTGTACTCAGGAGAGCCTAATCTGTGTATGCCTCCTCCACTCTGTCCCTTGCGGCATCACATTAGCAGCTAGAGGTCAGCCATAATGGGAATATTCACACTATGGAAATTAGAGAAAGCTATAAAATTCATAAATGGATTTTCTTCAAGGAAAAAACTCTGCAGATTTTCAATTCAAAAAAGTAAGGGATGATTGAGATGGAAGGAAAAGTTATAGAAATATTAAAAGGGTGAAGGAAAAGAGAAAAAACTTAAATAGCTTGATCCTGCTGCCCCACCCTCCGGGAGCCACATCCATCCTCTCTGCTGAGCCCCTAAGACTGTCTAGGTCCAGTGTGCTTCTCAATAGCAGCCTTTCTTAGCCCTGATTCAAAATTTAATATTGAAAAGAGTCTATAAATATCTCCTTGAAGTGTGTATAGTTCAGTGTCCACATGCTTGTGTAGCACATGGGACTCTAGACAAGCAATAATGTCATAAGGGAGTAAGAAGACAGGTAGGATGGGAAGGAGAAGGGAGGGAGGGA